TTTACCCAAGAGTGGTAAAAAGTTAAAACAACTTTAACCTTTATGGAGAAGAGAATTGCCAGTTATGTACCTATATCCTTATTATTACCTAACCCTTTGTTTAAAAAAGTCACTTGATGCGTGCGTTTCCTCACACTGTATTTATATAAAAATTTTCTATATATTTTACTCTTGTCAATAAATTAAATTTTAAACATTCTTAGTAACCTAATAAAATCAATACATTGTAAAAAAAACAAAGCCGTAAAGTTCATATGTCACAATAAATTAAATATGAACGAAGAAAATAATACATTTTTGTCCCAATAAAATAAAAACCCTACAACAAAGAAATTTCTCTTTCTGAGCTTTCCTCTATTAAAAGAAATGCTTTTCCGTTGTTTTTTATGATTTCCTATTGACTCCCTTCACGACGAACTATGGTGTCAGTAGAAAACAAAGAAACCGGAAACCATTAGTACAAGCAAATTTTTGCGTTCGATAGATATAAAAATAACGAGACGCGCGGATTAGCAGGGAAAAGGCTACAAATACAATCAAAATGCATAACAGTAATCATGTACATGTACATTGTACATGTATGATTTTTTAAATATATACTGAATATTTATCTTAGCTAAATTTCGTGTTATTTTTTACGTTGGAACAAAACATACAGGTATCTATATTCTATTATTTGCAGGTCGTAGTAGCATATCTACAATTTATAGATATTATTTAATATTTATGTTTATTTTACTCGAAAATTTCTTTATAAACTTCGGAGGTACAGTCTGTCAAATACTCCGGAAAATACGTAAAAGTTATTATTATTGAGACATAAAACAAGTATTTTAGAAAATGCTTCTTTCTGCATCTAATACAACTTAAAAACTTGTTTCATTTGAAAAAATCAAAAGTTACAATATTAAGTTAGAACACCCTTTCAAATAACTATTTTCGTATATATTCGGAAAAATCTTCTTTTTAGGGTTTGCCACAGATTTATTAATTTATATTAAGATCAATAGTCAACATTTTTTAAAACATTTATAAAAATATTTTCTGTTCATCTTCAATTTGGGCACTCCCATTCAAATTACATAGTGTTAAAGTTAATATTTTTAAAACAACTTTTATTCACTACACTTACTTTTTTAATACATTGAAATTAAATTTTGCACAGGTTTATAATATACCGTCACAATTTTTCTTGTGCTCTTTGGTAATAAACTGTACTTAAGAGAAGTATCTTTCCATGGTATTAAGTTGGAACTTTCCGCAACCAAATTTGTTCTGAATTACATTTATTTTATTACTTGCAAAAAGCGTAGGCGTTTCTATCTCGGACAAAGCATTGATTTTTTTTCAATTGAATATGCCAAGAAAACAACAAAGTTCTTTTTATAAAATCTATTTCAATGTATGGGTGGGAATATTTGACAATTCGGTTAAGCCCGATTTTCTTGACATCTTGATTAAATACACACGAATTTTTATTTTTTATATAAAACCATTTCCTCGATCTTCTTGTTGGTGTGCCTCTTGTAGTTGGTTAAATGTAATTTTAGCTTTTGAGTTGACATATGACAATATGTACTTACCTATCCACTAGCCAAGTCGCTCCTCCGACATTAACCTCGTAGACTTCTGTTCTGAGAGTTTAAGAAACATTTCATTTATAAGATTCCTATTTTAACACATGAACATTTACAGAACAAACTGCAAAAGGTAGAGACCATTCATTTCACGCCAAAACCACAGATCTACAAGTATTCGGTTCTCTCTCATTAAAAGAAAGCGATTGTGCATTTTTGGAGATAGTAGACTTGTCAAACTTTACCTACTTTAATGTTTCCAGACTTCAATTTTGCCTGTAGTTATCCCATTTTTAGTCAAATACGCTATTATTAAGAATTCTAAATTTTAAGCCTAATCTAATACAAATTGAGCACAAAATCAAAATTTTACGAGAGGAAAAGAATTACAAAAAGAACCATCTTATCTAAAAAACACTACCTCTCAACCATAGGGTTGGGTAGGAAAGAACCACGATGACTGCGACGATCCTCGATAAGTACCACCATCCCCCATTCTGCGCTTGCGTTTAGATTTTTGTAAACAAAATTGCTCAAAAGTGTGATGCTAGAAACTTATAGAAAATTTCAACTTTGTATATCAGAAAACAGTGAAGTTGTTAATAAAAATCATTTATAAAATTTGATGTCTCATGTCTCGAAAATAGTCCAAATAGTCCAAATTAAAAATTACATAATGAAAGTTCCACTAATATCTCACAACTAACATGTGACTAACGACTTACTGTTTTGATGTACGTCACAGATTTTTTCGATGCGTGCTATTGACACAAATAATTCAAAATTTATTAATTATTTAAATGAATAAAAAGTTAGTTATGTATTTAAAATACTTATCTAATACCTATAAAATTACTATGAGAAAGTTATACCTACATACAATTTATGAGTTGAAAAAGGACGTCCACGTATATGGTTTTATTTTTGACAGTTTCTGCTAATTTTTCATTCCACTGCAATAAAATTCAATTACACAAAATGTCGTCACCGAGATGGCCATTTGAGTCTATAAATTAAACAGCGAGCTTTTGTGTAACGTCAGTTCTTTAAATTGAACATTTTCTCGTGTGACGTTAAAGTATTAAAGGGTCTTCCCCGATTAAAAAGTCAGCGAGGAGTGGTTGGGCGAGATAATTCATGAATTATTGTAATAGATACGTTATAACAAATGTGTCACAATATATCAACGCCAGATTTCGACACACCCCATCGAGCTAAATACTAAATTATATCTTGTTTCGCGCTTAGCTGTGTTTTATTTAAGGCTGCATTTCGTTCCAGAAAAAAAAAACCGTTCTTGCCCTTCTGTAGTGACTGAAGTAGCACATTTACAGTTTTACCTATGTCTCTGAAGAGATATAGAAACGAATCATTTTTGTATCTGTCAAAAACAAAAAATCGACTTTGAGGACAAAATTATAAAATAAGAATTACGGGAAATAAATAAAATAAATATGCAGACAATTCAACTTCAAATATGAGTTAATACTAATTACAGAATGAGGTGATCAAAGAAAACCAAATCGGAACAAATTTAAAATTACTTGTATCTACTATTAAATAGATTTATAAAAAATATCTAGCTGGCTACTTCCTGAATTATCACTATTGCAACATTAATAAACAAGAAAATTGGAAATGGAAGGTAATGGAAAAGAGTGATGTTCTTCTAGAAACATTAATGTCTAACGTTTGTAAAATGACTGGGTCATCAATCAGATTGTGACTTATTTTATACAGTAATAACACGAAATTGTAATGCCAATGCCTGTTTAATGTATTAAAGTTATGTCTTTCAAAGAAAAACTCACGTGGTAAACCAATTTCAGTATAAAGCATATCAGCTTTAAAAGATAAAATTTTAGAAATCGCTTTTATATATGTTCCAGCCTGTCTGATTGTATTTGATGACGGAGTTTCCAAACTATAGATACATACTCTAAATTTCATCTGACATACGTGTAATACAGTAGCTTCAAGATTTGTGTATGCGAAAAGGCACTACTGAATCGAGCAGTAAACTCGGAAAAATACGGAAGGCTTTCACAGAGATATTCTTAATATAATATTAGAGAAGTTACTCCGAAATCAGTCTTCGAATAATAAAATTAGTTAGTAGTAGTTATGTTACTGGCTATTGCAGGTAATACTATGTACCAAATTTGAATTAATTTGGTTAACCTGTTTGGAAGATATAAACAGAAACAGTTTTTTTTTGCGAAAACTTTAACATTCTCTATCTCGAAAACGAAGCATTCCGAAGGAATTTGATGCTTTGAATATGATCATGTCGTCAAAATTCATGACTTCATGACAAATTTCGGAAAAAAGTGAAATTTTTAGGTGAAATTGGTCCAAATATTTAGGAAAAAATCAGTTTTAATCCATATTTGGGCCAGTTTTAACCCAAATTTTCTGAAAAATATTGAGGTTATGGGTAAATTTTACTAATAGCATCGTGTTCAGCACCTCAAAATACTACAAATATTATATTTTTCGACACAATTTAGGAAAGAATCAGTTTTGATCCATATTTGGACCAGTTTCACCCAGAAATTTGAAGTCATAAATTTTGGTTACGGGATCGTGTTCAGCTCATCGAATTCCTGCGGAAATAATATGTGGTTCTCTTGGGTTTGGACTTTTTTGTGTGTTTTCGTACGACTATCAAATAAAATACCGAATATATTTTTCTCACATCTGCGTTGTTGAACCTCTAACTTGACAAAATTTCTTTATTTTTTGTTTATGTTGGTAAGAACGATCAGTACTGTGTCGTTAGTTGCTGTTATACCCTGCATTTTGTTTGTTTGAATGTAAAGAATAAGATTTTCTTAATTTTCAATACGTAGCGCATTTGAAAAGTAAGGACCGATCGATTATAAAATGAAAACTAAAATGAAAATGAAAAATGTTTTGTTAAAAATTTACCTAGTGAAACAAGGTTTTTCAATTCCTTAGCATACAATTTTGCTGCCTGGTATTTCAGCAAGTTTCTTCAAGTTTCAAGCCATTTAAACACAAGCATGTTCTTGAGGCGTAGGGGAGATAGTAATCACTGGAAGAAATGTACTGTCGTGAAAGCAAACAAATTTCTGTCTTCTGTTTTCCTCGCTTTCTTCTCTTCCCAAAGAAATCATGATTATATAGAAAAATAATGTAACTACGAATATGTATTTGCTACTACAAAAATACAGTTTCTTTTTGTGTTAGATTTTAACAAACAATCGGTTCAAACGCGAATAAAGCAAAACTGCTTGTAATAGATTTGCTGTTACAGAAGATACCAATAACGTGATCTGTGCTTCTAAATGTCCTTAATAAATAACGGAGAAAAATGCGTGAAAATAGGCTTTCACTTACGTAACGCGTTTCAGGGTAAGGTGACAAACCTTTCTGAAACACCTTATTAACTTGTTTCAGGCGGAGCTCGTGTCCGTCGAGAGCAAAGAAATTGAAAGCCATTACGTGCTGGCGAGAGAGCCCATTCACAAATGGAATTCCTCATCAGACTGTTATCTCTTGATTGAAGGCGTCGAGCACACTTTGCAGGTGAGTGAAATATTACACCACTAATGGGTTTATTATGTAGCCGAACAGAAGAGTTTGGCAAAAAGACTCCAGAGGAATTTCTTTTAATTTTGAATAGGACCCGATTTTAGAAGTGACATTCTCGAAAGTTAGGATTCACTGGATTTATTTATTCAAATAATTAATTGTGTCTTTACATAATATTCAAGGTAAATATCTACATAGGTATACAGTAAAAAAAATGAGGGAAATTTCATTCACGTACTCATATGTCGATTCTGTCTATTCTGTGAAATTTTCATTCTTAATATGAGTAGGATTTCAATTTTATGAATGAAATTATTAAGACAGAATTGACAAATTTTACCAAACCGGAGTTACTGATTCTCCTTAATAAGTGGCTTTTTATTTCATTGGAAACATACCTATAAGAACAATTAAGAGTAAAATTTTCTCTTGTATGATTCAAATTTAACTACATATTATATGTTAATTTCTGCTTAAAATTGATTATGACCATTAATTAGACACCATATACTTACCAGTTCAATTGACATCAAAAGTTATATCTTAACAGATTTTCTTGAAATTTGAGATGAGAAATCTTTATATACTCCTTTGTTTTCAAGATACAATGCGGCATTCATTTTCTTGACATTTAACCACTTCTATATCTTCTTTAAAAATAGTAAAATTTAGCTTTATACAAGTCATGGTCAATAAATCAATCAAGATCAATAAATAAAAGAACACTATATTTTAAATCATTGCCAACGTTTCGGTGTTATTTTACATCATACCCAGGGCCCGAAATTTGACGTGTCTTTTGTTCAACTTCTAAATATTAAGAAGATGGTATCTAGATACTTATATGTGTACTGATCAATTTATGGAACCAATACAATTATAACAATTTTCACTGTGAAAGAAAACCGCATTGAATTTGTTCCATGAATTATAAGTATACATATAAGTATCTAGATGCCATCTTCTTAATATTTAGAACTGTTAAGTTGGGCAGAAGACACGTCAAATTTCGAGCCCTGAGGATGGTGTAAAATAACACCGAAACGTTGGCAATGATTTAAAATATAGTATTCTTTTATTTATTGATCTTTATCCCACTAAAACCTTGACTTAGATAACTAAGCAAGATTTTAGTGCTTTATAGTTCCATAACCACGATTTACTGGTATACAAAATAAAAAAAATGGTCTGTAGATTTGATGTGGCCCAATGGGATGTATTTTGACGTGCTGAATTCGTATTTGAAGTCCGTTTAGCTCAAACACCCCCAAAATTTTAAATAAATCGCAAAAATAGTGAAAAAACTCCGAATATCACGTTAGTCAGCCAAAAAAAAATCGAACAAATTTTTTCTGACCTATATCAAGTGTGTTTCTTATGTATTTTGATACGCTAAATTCGAGTCTGAAGTCTATTATCTACATTCCCTACAGATTTTCCAAAAAAAACCCAAAAAAAATATCTGAAAATGGCAGAAAATTAATTAATGAAAGAGAAGAGAAAATTTAGAACGAGGTTTTCTAGATTGGATCAAATGTACTTCTCATAAATCTTGTCGAGTCGAATTTGAATCTAAAGTCAGTTGATCCTGATTAAAAATCGCAAAATATCCCAAAAACAATGTGAAAGTCGTGAATCCCAAAAAATCCTGATTTGAGCCAGGCTTTCTTTGATGTTGCTCTTACACTTTTCTTCTCTTGCAACGTACTCTTTTCTCTTCGAATGACCTATGCAGGGGGTTTCTCTTTCTCTTCTATCTATTCTGATTTGTTTCTCTCTTTAGTGTCCAACAGAAATCAGCCATGTTGATATAGCATCTTCTTTGATATCGATTCACAATTTCACTTATATCTTGATGGAATCTTTCTCCTTGTTCTTCACTATAGCCTCCAAGGTTTTGAGGAAAGTATTCGAGGTGTGACTGTATTAACTGCAATTTAAGATTCATCAAGCAAATTAACTGTTTGAAACTTTTCAACATCTCTTTAACTAAATTTTCGTAATCTAAATCTGAATCTAAATTTTCGAGAGATATTCTTGAAACTTCGCCATACTGCTTTTTCAGTGTCATTCATCCTTGTAATGAAATTTTTGTTGCGAAATAGAGTACGAATTTGAGGACCATCAAAAATATCTCCTTTCAATTTCGCATCACTTATCGCTGAAAATTTCTCTCCTAAATATTGAAAACAGTCACCGTCTTTATCCAGAGGTTTGAGAAACCGCTTCATGAGCTTGATATGAAGAGAAAAGAGTTCGCTACAAGAGAAGAAAAGTGTAAGAGCAACATCAAAGAAAGCATGGTTCAAGTCAGTCGAATTTATTTGGAAGTAATTCATATCCAAGATTTTTTGGAATTAACGATTTTGATTTTGTTGCGATATTTTGCGATGTTTGCAAAATTTTTGGGTAATAAGGCTCAACAGACTTTAGATTCAAATTCGACTCGACAAAATTTATGAGGTGAACACTTGATCCAATCTAGAAAAGCGCTTTCCAAAATTTTTTCACTCTCATTAATATTATTTTTTGCCAATTTCAACTATTTCAACAATAGACTTCAAACTCGTATTCAGCGTATCAAAATGCATAAGAAACATACTTGATCAAAGTAAGACAAATGTTTTCCGAATGCTTTTGGGCTCACTAACGTGATTTTTGGCAATTTTTCGGTATTTTTTTGAGATTTTTCGCTATTACTATGCGATTTTGCAAAATTTGGGGGATGCAGCTTACGAGACTTCCGATTTGGATTCAGCACATCAAAATTCAAATGAAATCCACTTGATCAAGTTCAGAACAAATTGTTTCGAATTTTTTTGCGCTCTTAGTGAGCGTGATTTTCGGCGCTTTTTCACTATTTTTTGCCATTTACTAAAATTTTTGGGGGTGTTTGAGCTAAACTGACTTCAGATTCCGCCGACGTAAAGCTTATTGGGTCAAATCAAAGGCACAGAGACCACTTTTTTTATTTTGTGTGCCTGTGTATTTAAAATCTATAGATTTCACGTAGTGGTAGTGATCTTTAGTAGTTTATGAGACACCTTGGACTTATGAAATTCAGGAAGATAAACAATACATATATTATTGCGTATATTGTAAATGCAAAAATAATTTTTCAGTAAACTGTAAGGGACAAAACTGCAAATTCTATATTCCTAGTGTTTGTTCTCAATGCTTTTTCAAACAGCTGAAAATATGTTCGATACTGTTTTTCCACTGTGTGTTTTTCCATAAAATAATATTATTATATTCACGAAAGACGGATAAAAAACCTCTAGACCTATCAATCAAATTAAAAAAAAAATGTGTATATAAAATTCACAATTTTTATGTAAAGGTTTGTTTTTTTATTGTACCTCCTATGAAACATGACTCAAGACATTTTATTTCTCTCCCACGGAATGTCTATAGATGTTTTCCTATAAAACTTCTGCCAAACAAAACTTGAATATAAACACTCGAGACGACTGAAGACGTATGAAGGCAAGCAATCTGAAAAGTGAAACTGGACCGCTGAACTGAAAGAACAGTTTTTGGTAGAATAAATTCTATAAAATGTTAGAATAATACGTTGCATGTTAATATTTTTATGACGATCACTCCAATTCAAGACTATTGTAAAATAATATTCTTTTTCGATATCAAAATCGGAATTCTTAGTCATGTAAATATTTTAGTTATGTGAATTGTGTAAACAGTGAATTAATACAATGTACATACAGGGTGATTAATTAATATTGGGACAGAGCTGAAGGGCATGTTGCTGACCTCAAAATAGAGCGATTAAGCCAAATATGCCTTATACGAATGTTGCTCCTTTTCAATCTACAGGGTGTTAAAGTTGAAAAAATATTTTCGATTTTTTTAAATATCTTGAGCATCTTTGAACGGATTGTCTTGAAAGTTTGTACACCTATGTTTTCTGAGGTGGTAATTACGGAAATGGTAACTATTTTGCAATCACATCTAGGATGCGCTAGTTGTAGTGTTCCGTCGGAGTAAACATATGTCAAACTTTTTTGTCCTTCAAAAATCTGAATTTCCAATAAGAAATTATTAAACTACGTTCAATTCTAAATAAAAAAGATATACCTGTTAAAAATCGATAAACTTAACCGTTTTCGAAATAAGAACGATTTACTATTTCTTTACAAAATTATTTGTTTGAACGTACGCCTTTAAATAAGATGACTTAAATGAAGTAGGCCGCTGTCAATGAAATGTCATGTATTATTTATGTCAATTCTAAGCAACTTATAAATACTAGACAGTTTAGTTCTTCTTCGTTTGTGATTTTTTTCATTAAAATGCCGCGTCATAATGATTATTCGTTTGTTGAAATGAGAAACATGGTATGTGTGTATGCCCAAGAAAATTATTGTGGTCGTCATGCAGCAGCGAGGTACTTGGAGTTATATCCAAATAACAGACAACCTAACCACAAGCTTTTCAAGACGTTGTACGACAGATTAGGAGAAACGGGATCATTTCGCCCTAAACGAGACGTTGGAAGGCCTAAAGTATTAGCGGCGGAGCAAGAAGAGGATGTTTTAGTGCGAATTGCCGAAAACTTTAACAAATGACTTGCCACTGGTTCTTGAAAATATCCCCTTAAATTTACCGCAAACCTTTTGGTTTATGCATGATGGTGCTCCCGCATATTACTCCCGACCAGTAAGAGAATATCTTGATATAAGTTTTCGAAACCGTTGGATTGGTCGCGGCAGCGAAGTGCCTTGGCCTGCGCGTAGCCCTGATTTAAATCCCCTAGATTTTTATTTCTGGGGTAACGTTAAATCTTTAGTTTATAAAGATGTTATACATACTCGAGAAGAGCTGTGGGCAAAAATACAAGAATCTGTTAACATTATCAGAGACCAACAAAGAAGTCTATTCAGTGTCAGACAAAATTTTAACGAGAGAATAAAAAAATGTATTGAAAACAATGGTCGCCACTTTGAGAATCTTTTGTAATTAGACTTAAGCATAAT